TTATCATTCTGTACTATTTTATTTCATTTCATACAAGTTAACACTGTTTTTCCTAACATTGGTCATTTTATCACATACAAAATGTATTTTGCGTTCCACCGTCGCTGAACTACTGCAAATATTAGCCCGATAGTAAGCACTATTTTATAATTCAGACTCATTTCAATAATTTTCAACATTAATTTTATATTACTTTAATGAAATGAATAAAAACACTTTTGTCTTATTACCACTGGTAGTGTTTTTATTCATTCCATCAAAGCGATCATGATTCACCATAAAATAAACACATATTGAATTTTATATTACTTCTCATGATGAATCTAAACTTACTGATATGGCTTTATCACGTACAAGGAACAACCCTTCGGCGATGCTCCTTCTGTGATGCCGTTAAATCGAAAAAGTGGAAAATTTGCGATATCTCGGTGAGCTTGCGTCTGAGCGGCACCAAACTACAACACAATAACAACGGCTGCCGGGCGAGTAGTTGTGACTATTGCCGCGAGGCTGCAGCACTATACAGTGAAGAAAACTTCAAGTGGTAACTTTGCCCGCAGTGGCCACTATGCTCACCCTTTCCCTACGTACTTTCTAGACTACGCCTAACAAATGCTACTTTCTCAGAGAAAATACACCCGGAAATTATTTACAGACTTAAAAAACTTAAAAACTATTAAATATAATCACTTTCAAACATACTGATCCAATTATTTCAGGATATTATGGTTCGTCATAATAGCAATAGCCGTTGGACTGTCCATTTACTACATACTGGAACTATATTACAAATATGAAGAGAACCCTTTCATAGTAAATCTGGCGACTAGAGAATCTCCAATATACACCATACCATTTCCTGCTGTAACCATTTGTCCGGTGATCAAAACTCAGAGGTTTATGTTCAACTTTACCAAGGCGGTGAAGAAGATTTGGAACAACGAATCCTTGACGGAGGACGAGTAGGTATTGAATGACATAGTGATAACTCATATAGTGAATTGGTTGAAATGATAGACTGGGGGTTTGAAAATCCTTCTCAAATGCAATGATTGTCCTCTAGAAAAATAATAAAGGTTAAACTAGAACTGCTGCCGTACAATAAATTCAAAACAGGCACTCTTCCCAATCATCTTCTGAAGACGCCAACTTGATTGGTGAAACACACGTAGAGAATAGTATTGCATTTCTGGTGATTGGAAAAAAAACCCATTTTGGATTCAGAAATCTGTCATAATAAAGCACCTTCCTGTGGTGATTGTGTTCATAGCAATAGAAGAAATCCATTCGTATTATCTGCGATTCAGCAGCAGATTGAACTTCTCGGAATTAGATAGAAAGACCATTCTCATTATTAAATGTTTTGAAAATGGTTGTTTTCCTAAAATATTCAAACCATTATACAAAAAAGGGGATAAATTGGATGTGACTAATTACAGACCAATTACACTAATTTCGAATATAGCAAGAATAATTGAAAAAATCATGAAAAGGCTTGTGAAATTTACAAATAAATATAAACTGATCGCTGATGAACAATGTGGATTTAGGGAGGGAAGATCGACAAAAGATGCAATATATAAACTAACATCACAAATTTATGACTCTTTAGACAAAACGATTCCAACACTGTGCATTTTTATCGATCTCTCTAAAGCCATCGATACGGTGAGTCACCCTAAACTTCTATAAAAGCTGGAAAACATTGGTATTCGCGGAAAAAAGTATGAACTCTTCAAATCTTATTTATATGATCGTGAACAGAGGGTCAGGATAGGTGATACAATGAGTAATCCGGAAACTGTGGGGTTTGGGATACCTCAAGGAACTGTGTTAGGCCCTGTTCGTAATGGTAAGGAGGAAGTCTCAAAATGGTGATGCCTTCAGCACGAGCTACTGTATCCACCACATGCTGGCGATATCTGTCACGATGCTGTTTAATGACACTCATAAGCTCGGCCTTAACCATGTCCTCGGAAAATGGAATTCCTTTTTGTCCTAACCAACTCTGCATGTCTGCTTTTCTGGTGGTCATAGTTGGTAGCTGTTCTACTAATCGGCTGTGATGAGAAGCGTTATCCAATAATATTACCGAATTTGGCTCGACTCCTGAAAGAAGGGATTCAAACCATCATTCAAAGCGTTGGACATCTATGTCAACTTTCGGAGTTCGTGATAATCCCCCGTTTTTTTGGTTAAAAAAAATTAGTGCACTATCGTCTAAAAAGCCACTCTCACTAGCTATATGGGCAACAATGAGTCGTTGCCCTTTACCCGTTTGTCCGCGTAAACCTGTTGATAAACCGTCCACAAATGCTTGACGATAACTAGTTACAGTAGTACCCATCTTGCCTGATCTTAGATACTGTGTGACCAGCATTCACCCACGTTTCGTCCAGATAATAAATCTTTTTGTTAGCAGAACGCATTTCTCTAATAGAACGAAGATATCTCCATCACCATGAGACTATAGCTTCTCTTTCTCTTAAGACAGATTTACAGGATCGTTTGGCATTTATAAATTTTAAATCTTCTTTTACTATTTTCCTTAACTTCTCTTTGGTTATTTTTGGAATGAGATCATTATCCACTACCTCTGTCCTAATGGACTCGAGGATTAGCGCTTTATTCTCAAAAAAAAAAAAATTTCTGATACTCGTCAAATTCAATTTTTTTTTCTACCACGACACTGTACTTTTGGAGCTTGCACAATCCCAGTCACCTTTTTTTTCACGTACAATGCGTTCAATTGCCGACACGGATATTCCCGTTAAAAATGAACACTGGGCTACAGCTTCCACTGTACGGAGTGAATTTTTGAATTATCATACACTCTACAGACAATCTGTTTTTCTTCTATCGACATAAACTTCCGCTTTCTCTGTACATTACTTGGACCTGCATCCATCTTAATACCATAAAAATTATAAAATTCAATCATATTATTCAACTATTTGTCAGTTGTTTACTTACCTCAAAAACTATTTTGAAGTTGATGTATTTTGAAAAACAAGTATCGGCCAACTCTATCTCATATTTTAAAGTTACTAAATATAACAGTCTATTTAATATATAATAAAATATATTTAATTAATACAAAACAAAGTCACCTTCACAAGAAACAGAACACACTACACCTATGCAGATAGGGACGCTTGATAATGAAGAAACCGTATGACGAGTTATAGCATTTCAAGGACGCAAATATAATAGACCTGCGAAGTGTTGATCAGTTTAGCAATGTTTTAAAGTATTTAACGAACTGGTTCACCTATTCGCTCGTACATCCTATCGATATGCAGAAGCTATCTTATTAGGGGGGAGGGGGAAATTTTATGGAATCATCTTACTAGTTCCGCAATTGTCGAAGTCATCAGGCCGTAGATGTCACGGGGTCCTAAAATTCTTAGTCCAGCCGCTTCCTTGGATAAAGAGTCGGCAATGCGATTACCTTTACTCCTGTCGTGCCCTTCAATCCATCTCGGGATAATGTTATTATCTGCCGATGCTTTGGCTGAATAAGTAACTAATTCACTGTTGTGAAGATTCCATTAATTTGAAACTATGAACTTTCTTTATAAAGGAATTCTAATATTACCATCACACTCTTTGATTCGTTCCAGGTCAATAAGAACTCAATACTTGTCCTTACTTTGTGATAATATCGATACTTCCTATAAGGAGCATCTACTTCAAAATGAAACATTTACAGAAGACTTTTTCGATCAGTTACATGAGGTAAGTTCTTGATGTACTATAATCGGCAATAATATATCATATTTTATTCCATTTTCAGCTGAAACCTGATACTGTATTTTTTTTATGTAATTTCATGGGAAAGGATTTCAATTGTGAAGACTTATTTGTCCCAGTAATATTAGATGATGGGGTTTGTTATACGTTCAACATGCTAAACCGGGAAGATATCTTTAAGAAGGACGTGTAAGTTGTAGTAATTTTCTGCTGTTTCCTAAAATGTTGCAACATTCGTAGGTTTCAACAGCTAATATAGTAGGTTACACTTATTTATGTTTTTTTGTTTTTATCAACAGAGAACAGTCAATATATAATAATGCAAATAAGGGCTGCCACTTTCGTATTACTTTAATATTCAAAATGAATAATGAAATCATACCCTCACATGTTAATATAAATGTAAATTTATTGAATTGTTCAATTCCGAAACAATAAAGTCCGCCATTGAGGATGATGGTTTTCCATATGAGTGAGATTTTACCGCTTTCATATACTTTACTAGCGATCCGCCCCAGCTCCGCATGGATGCAATGCTGATACTGAATATACAACAGAATGTCTTTGTACTGGGTGTTTCAAATTCGACCCTCTCCATTGGGATCTCGGAAACTCGGATTGGGATCTTAGTATGAGAGATACGAAGATGGTTAAATTGGAGCAAAGTTGCGTATTTACCTGACTGACAATATGCCGTTGAGAAAGTTCTGAAATTTCGAGTATATTCGGAGATATCCGGAAAAAAAAGTCGGATAATGGTTTTTATTTTTTCCTGGCTTCATTTTTCAAACGATTCAAAAATAAATTACACTTCCATTGCAACTGTTTCCCTGCTACCTAATGATGTTTTCAGATTTGCTATCCGACATTTCGTCTTCCGGCCACTATCATCAACTTTATTTTTTCCAATGGGCCCTACACTAGATTTTTTCTGTTTTGAATAAAACCATTGTTCTCTTCTTTTATAACGTGGGCCACACAGTTCTTCCACACATCACTATTACCTACTTCATTCACCACTTGCCTTATATTGTCAAGCACTACAGCATTCAAAGTCGGTGACTGATTACATTTTTGCAAGCTTTCTTTCATTCATAAAAACTCAATACACCAGTCATAGTGGTTTCAGGTCCATGAGTCTCATAGCAATCATGGAATCTAGGTTCACTATAAATATCTAATGAGCACCTAATTAGCACTTCATTCTCTTGCCCTTGTTTATTGAGAAACGTACTTTAAAAACTCAATACACCAGTCATAGTGATTTTCAGGTCCATGAGCCCCGAAGGCATTATAGAATATAGATTTAATATGAATATCTAGTGAGCACTAAATTATCACTTTATTTTGATTGTTTATGTATTAGTTTACGAGAATTTCAAGACCCAATTTCATATTTTCAATTTTTTTTCTCAAATCAGGTATCCCGAATTTTATTCCGCTTATTCACGGTCGTTTTCATCTCAATTTTTTGCGAGCACTTGATGAGCCCTTTATTATCACGCTTAGTTTATACCTAATAGAGCATTCGTCGTCGTTTACGAAAGACCTGATTCTAAGATCTGTTGTTTAGCGAAATTGGAAACTTTTGTTTATTAATTAGAAAATTTTACGATCCTCACCGTTTAGCACTTAATAAGCACCTTATACTGTTTCGTTAACATTCATTATTTCATTATTATTTTCATTGCGTTGCTAGCATTACAAAATGCTAGCTACGAAACGTAATTTCTGACTTCGGTACCTAAAAAGCACCTAAAACACCTAGCAAAAAGTACATAATTTTGGCATTTTGTGAATGCGATTTCCATACTCTGCGTTACTGGCGTGACATAGCTGTTTTTTTGTCTATGTTTCATATTCATTTCATGATTTACAACGATTGGAACTTATATCAACAGTCATCTAAAATCAACCCTGAGCCATTTTTTCTACACAGTCGGTCAGGAAATTCAGATCATATATATGAGACATATATTGATTGTGCTAATCACCCATATTGTTGTCAAATTCATGACAACCCCCAAATTGATTCGCACCGCCAAAATATCACCTAAACATCGCATTTTCGTCATCATTATTAGTCCTTGTGTTGACCTTTGACTTCGCAAGCATCATCTACACTGTTATTGAAGTAATATTCGCAATTGCTCCAATATTCGGACTCAGTGACTAAAAATAACTTCATTGATTATCATGCTGATTGACTTTCTAATTTTAGATGACATGAAAATACGTGAGCTTGCTGGCCTATTCAAAGGAGTATACGATATTAATCCAACTTGCAACTGCATGCCTCTATGCACGGAACTTTCCTATGATATAGAAACTGGCAGAACATTTTTCCCATGGAAAGAGAAATTGAAAATATTCCAACTCAACCAAACCTACGAATTGAACACATCACATTAGTAAGTCATAACCGAACTGTATACAATATTTTTGTGAACTATGAAATGTCATAAACTACACTTCAATATTTGATCTCCACAAACTTCATTTTCAAAAATCACGCTAACACAGTAGCTTGTTCGTATTGAATAACGTACGTCCGTACGTTATAGAGATTGTTACTGTGGGAACAACCATCCTTGGCCCTTTCTTTCAGGACGATCATTTGAATAGTGAAATGTATCTTCATTTTCTATTCAATGAATTAGATGTCTACTCTGATGAATTGCCACTGAATATCCACTATGAAATACAATATTTCCAAAAGGACGGCGCTCCTCCCCAATAATGCTGCAATAGTAAGGGAACATTTAGATGCAATATTCCCTAGAAAATGGATTGGAAATAATGGACCAAATAACTGGCCAGCTCAATTCCCAGATCTTACTTCTTCAGATTTTTTGTCACCAAGTAGAGATATCCACTATCTCAAACAGAAAATAAGAGATGCATGTGTTAGTATCACACCTATTATGCTAGAATATTGCCACAGAAATTGTCTGCACCGACAACTTATGTGAATTCAACAAAGAGGTCGTCAATTCGAGCATTTAATGTAGATTGCCACGTAGCTTTGATTTTCCGTACTGGTTTCATTTTTCCAAAAAGTTCATAATAAAATAATGTGTTTTTCTGTTTGATTGTTGTGACTGATGATGGTAGTTATTTTGAATGGAACGCTATAAAATATCAAATGTGATTTAACCTTGGATTGAGAATCTATTGCTTCATCAATATCTGTAATAAAATTAGACAGGTCCGTATTAAAAAAGAAGTTGATGGTGGCCATGTTAAAACGAAACGTTTTATCGAATTTTATTGTTGTATCGTCATAGTACACTTGAAATACAACATTTTCCTTTTCCATTTTTTGATATTCTCCGAAATAACAATTCAATTCGAAAAAAAACACATTTTTGGTTCTCCCCGTATAACTTGAGAAGGGCGAGAGTACCCATGAATTTTCATACTTGACGGGTTATGTAAGGGCACATAATTGAAGCAGTGTTAATGGGTATCATAACTACGGAAAATTCTTATGTCAAAAAACATATTTTCATTCGTTTTAAAAAACAGAAATGTCAATTAATGCATCCGGTATTACAAAACCATTCAATTTGAAAACTCCTCTACATGAGTTTCTATTGTTCATCTTCTGAAGGTTGAAAGCCTTCGTCATATGATGAGAATCCAAAAAAATATTACAATGGAACTTGTAGAAGAAAGTAAATAAATTCGAAAATTTTGCGAATTGAACTTTGTTCATTATTCAGCTCTGATACAACTAAGAAAATGAATAGCCTGCCAGGTAACCACATCTAATACTACTAGATTTTCGTGACACCATTCGAAAAGTGAAGATATAAATGGTTCATATGTCCAAATTCAAATTGGTTAGTTCATTTTCGAATTTAAACACTGGTTGTACTACAAAAATATTATTGGCATATGAACAAAAAAAATAAATTTCATTCTTTGAAGATTTTTTTTATGTTTTGAACAGAGCAGTATCCATTCTCGATGATGTTCAATGTTTATCAAATAGTGTTCACTAATCAGCTTTCTCTGTTTCAGCCATTTCTCGAAGTTATCAGTCTTCTTCAACAGAGATCAGTTCCTGACTTCTCAAAGAAACGAGCTTTATGGACCTTTTGATTTTTTGGCAAACTTTGGCGGACTACTTGGCCTTTTTACGGGATTCTCTCTCTTATCAGCGGTGGAAATTTTGTATTACCTCTCTGTTCGATTGTTTTGTAATTTTCTTACAGACACTAATTTTTCAAAAAACTAGATTTGTAGTAGTAGTTTTCATTGAAAATATTCTTCGTGTAATATTTTGACCAGATATTTTCATTCAGCATTTCCTTGCACACTGATAATTTTCATGGATGTTAATAAAAATATGCCTCATAAATTTTTCTGTCTCATGATGACTTCATCGCACACTCACTTGGACTTGTATGTATGTCAGCGGTTGGTGAATTCACCATAACTTTCTGCAACTGGACTTAACCATCACAGCAGAGTCAAATTGTGAGAAAATCGAAGAAAAGTACTGAAAATTGCGTTAGCAGCTATTCGAAGTAGCTGTTTCAGGAGGGCTTTTTCTACCAGTTTGTGTCTGAAAGTCACTTCTTAGCATGATTTACACATCTATGTGAATTCAAAGTTCTGACTATCAATTTCGAGAAAACGTATTACTCAAGTACCCTTTTCGTGTTACGGAAATACTTAGCCTTCTCACATTAAATTGCAAGTTGACGGAAACCTGAAAATTAAAGAAAAAGAGTCAGTTAAGTATCTTGGATTAACTGTAGACGAACATTTGAGATGCAATCACCACGTTTCAAAACTTGCTAATACGCTAAATAAGAAGTCTCATATATAGATTCAAATATTTTTCGAAATTTTTACAAGAAAAACAAATGAAAATGATTTATTATGCTTCAGTTGAGTTTAGCTTGACTAAATGGGTTGTTGGACAACAAATACGTGGCTTCTTTGAATTTTGTCCTAAATCAGCTTGAGCCCACTTGATGTTATGTTGATGAGTCCAAACATGCTCTGCTATTCCGGATTTGCTGGTTTCTCCTCGCTGTGTGTGTTTCTTGTGCTCAGCAATGCGAACTTTCAATGACCTCAGTTTCACCGATATATGATTCTCCGCACTCGCAGGGTATCCGGCTAATGCAAATCTTAGAATCGCAGTCCGCGCTTGGTGGCCTGATTTTTGTGAGGCTGCTACGGATAGTGTTCCCAGATCTGAAACAGGTCGTGATGTTAAACTTGGACCCAATCCTTCTTATCCTTTTCGATAATCCTCTGATGTAGGGAAGTACAAGTACTGGTTGTGGCGGCTTCTCTTCCTTCTGAAGTTTTACTGTCTCCTAGCTAAAGCCTGTTCTAACATCACTCTGGAGTAACCATTCCATTGAAGGTCATTTTTGATGATGCCTAGTTCCTTTTCGAGACCTTCCTTCGTATTACAGAGCCCGAAAGCACGGTCTAGTAGAGTCTTGATGACTCCTCTCTTAGTCGATTGATGGTGGTTGGATTTTTGGTTCAGATACTATCCAGTGTGAGTGGGTTTTCGATATACAGATGTTTCCCATTTCGTGTCGGTCCTGTTCACCAATACGTCTAAGAAAGGCAATTCGTTGTGGACTTCCTTCTCCATTGTGGAAGTGATGGAAGCACTTACGTTGTTGATGTCCTTCAGGAAGGTGTCTAGTTCTGCATTCTCATGGTTCCATATTATGAAGGTGTCGTCTACGTATCTCAACCAGACTCGGGCCTTCTTTTGTCAACCACCTTCAAACAAAAGTGATTTACTGTCGTTTATTCTAGTATACTCTATATATTTTGCTAGTGAATTATATTCTATGCTATTCTATATCTATAGAGTTACCTATTACTTTTGAAATTGATTGCTTCATTCATATATTTAGAAGATTCCCACATTTGTTTGTATTAAGAGGGAGTAGTAGAAAGCCAAAAACGTTTTCCCAAGATTAATCCAATTATTTACGATTCACTGTACTATTGCCAAACCTCTACGACCAGCATCGATTGCCGCGTATTACGTAAAGCAAGTCGATGAGCTGAATTCGAGGTATAGAGAGAGATATGACGATCCTTGTTTGTTCACTGTTTTTGTTTAGAAGTAAAGTCGTGATAGTGTAAAAGGTTTGTTCGTATTTCGTGTTAAAGTGAATTTGAAAAATGGATAACCATCGACAAAGTGAAATGCCGTTAGCGGAGAACACAAATATTGATTCGAGGAATTTTGAGAGAGATAGCCGTAAAAAGAATTTTTGGAAAAGGATTAGAAGATATTTCCGAGATTATTGTGACAATTCGTCCATGATCGGTTTCAAGTTTTTGGGAGAAAAGAGGTCCTTAGGGGAGAGGTAATGCGTTTCAAGAGTTTTTCAAATTATGAATATCTGAAATAGTTTCAATCTATTTTAAGATCAGCTGTAACTACGTAAATAGCGGACCTATTCCGCTAACCTTGAGTTGTTATTAACATAAATTCTAAGGTCGGCTGAAATCTTCATCGAAATAAATAGGCATGGTTCGATTATTTTGTTGTAAAACTGAAAACGCGTGAAAGACACATTTGCGTTTTATTTGAAAACTTTTTCGAAAATTTCAATTCACAGTGAAAAATCTTGGAAGTACAACAGAACAGTACACTCAAAAACATGTCAAAGACAGAAACGGAAATATTTTTAGGAGATATCAAGTTTTGGGAAAGGAAGGTTTCTTTTTTTGGAAGATTTCCATATTTTGTTGTATGAATATTGTTGTATGAAAATTAATCTCTCCAGGAAGTGAGTCCCGCTCAATTTGAACCAGATTCCTATGGCTGGGATCAGGTCAAATAAGCTAATGAATGTTAATACGTACTCTCATCGTTAATATGAGTAGATTCAACTCATTCGTGACATGAGGTCGTAATTTTATGGATAAATTGTGTGCTTCATCTTGTAATGGTATCAAGATTAGTGCTGAAGAGGCAGTTAGACAAGATACATCAGGAAAGGAATCGTATTTCGTGTAACAAATTTTTCATTTGTAAATTATAAATCGCTTTCGGCTGTTACGCCATCATCAGTGCGAAACTTATCAAGAATATACAAGAAGATCCTGCTGTCTTAAGGTACAACGACTTCAGTAAAAACCACTCTGAGTGGACATGAACATGAACATCACAATAAGCAAACACTTCCCTTTCCTCCACGTACTTGGCACGTTGGAGATGGTTTTCTTTAAAAATAACTTATAATCTAAAGGGTAAAAAATTGCTGCTGCTTTCTATAGTTCATTTCAATAATCGCGAACAAAAACCATGCAATCTGTCATAAATTAAAATGTCAAGTAATTTAATGCCGAATAGCTCTTACTCGTTATTTTGCCACCATGGTAATGATCAACTGCATTCATCAAAACTATACCTACCAAAATATCTATATTTACAACGACAACCATGTGATTCTTACGAAGTAGGGAAGGGGTGGGAAGGGGTGTTTCAAAAAAGTTTAGGGGTTTAGGCCACCCCTAAACTTTTTTGAAACATTTTATACATCCCTGGAACATTTAGTATGGTTACTTAGGCCTGATTCAAAAATAAAAACGACTACCTAGTGGCCTATAAAGTGGCCAGTACTTAGTGGCCACTACCTAGATCGTCATTCTTTTTCTTAAACAATGCGCGTTTTCCTTTATTTTCAATTTTAGCCACCCTTTTCTTAGGAGCCTGCTGTTTCTTTTCGATTTCTCTTTCTCTTTTTGTTTCTAGTCTAAGTTGTTTCGCATTCTCTTTATCTTGCTGTTCCTTTCTTCCGCTTAGTTTCTCTTTTGATAATCCTATTGACCTTGGGTACAGGAACAATTTCACATGGACTTACAGCAAATGAAGTGGACTTCTTGTTTGGTGGACTGTTCAAATTTGAAGTCGTTTCTAGGAAACCAGCTGATAAAGTGCTGGGAATAGACGGATCAAATGTGGCAGAAGGAAGCCCACTGCTAGAGCTGATTGGATGATCAACAGAAGGTAGGGATACCATTATGAAGGCGGTATTGGGGTTTTCAACACCACCAATGAGTTCTGTTGACCTACTGTTGTTGACAGTCTGAGATGAAGATGCACAAACTTGTATGATGGTGTTCTCTTCTCCTGGCGCAGGGTCTTCTTGCATAATCCAGTTCTGTAAACACATTTCTGTCGATTGGGACGATTCCAGATTTTCTAAAGCCTTTTATGGCGATAACTGGTGTAGCTGCCTTCAAAAACGCTTCACCAAGTAGCCGGGAAACCTGGAATTGGGTCACTGTCCGTCCTGGATTATTTCTTAACAACTTTTCAATTCTTTGTACAAAATACGTATTGAAAGGTGCCATAAACGCAACGTCAAGAAACTCCATTTTATGACTGCAGTGGGGGGAATGCATAAAACAGTGACATGATTGTCTCTGGCTTTTTCGATGAAGTCTAAGTCGTTCATGTGAGTTGGATGACCGTCTAGTATCAGAAGAATCGGGTCGTCTTTTGTTGGCTTTGAAAATTTTAAGAAATCGTCAAACCATGAGGTGAATATTTCCATTTGCATCCAACCAGTAGGATGACATGCAAAAACTGTTTCAGGAGGTGCACCATCTTGCAGTTCAACTTTCATTCTACGCCTTGATAAAATCACAATGGGTGGTATAAACGTCCCTCCAGCTGAAACACAGACTACAAAAGTTGAAAGAAAGCCTCGTTCAACAGATGTTAAAGAGCCGACTTGTCGCCGACCTTTTAGAGCAAAGACCTTGGACGACTTGGACTGGACTGTTAAGAGTCCAGTCTCATCAACATTGTACACCCTATGAGGTGGGAATACGTGATCTTTCTGAATGCCTTTCAAAATGTCAAAAAACTTTGATACATTAGTTTTGTTAAACGCTTGAGCCCGGGCATCCTGAAGTCGCCTCAGGCTTCCGTAATGCAATCATAGGGTGGCGTTTTCTAAATCCCTGTACCGAATCTTTCCCAGCAGCTTTTTTTTCAAGACTAAAGTTATGAGGTATGCAATTTTCAACAGCGAGTTTGCAGGCAAGAGCCTGTAGATCAGCGACTGTTACACCAAAAAAACGGACTTCCATGTCCAAAAGATGGTTAACTATTTCTTTCTCCTGCTCCTCAGTAAATATGGGCCGAAAGTGACCAAGAACCTTTTTTGTGTTTACTGCTTGTACATTTTTGTCTAGTGCACGCCGTTTTAAAGTATTTCGAGGTACTTGGAACCTTTTA